ATCTCTGGGACACTATGAAGGCAATTCTAAGAGGAAAGTTCCTTGCATGGAGTTCATTCCTTAAAAGATGAAAAAGTCAACAAATTAATGACTTAACATTATATCTAAAAGCCCTAGAAAAAGAAGAATAAATCAACACCAAAAGCAGTAGAAGACAGGAAATAATTAAAACGAGAGCTGAAATCAATGAAATTGAAACAAAAGAAATAATTGAAAAATTGACAAAACAAAAAGTTGTTTTTTCAAAAAAGGAGAAAATTGATTGATCCTTAGCCATGCTAATGAAGAAAAAAGAGAGAAAACACGAATTACTAACATACATATTAAAAAAGGAAATATCACAATAGACACTACAGAAATACAGAAGATAATTAGAAATTATTTTGAATACATGTACTCCAATAAAATAGAAAATATCAAAGGCATCAGCAAATTTCTACAGTCATCTGATTTTCCCAATTGAATCATGATGATATACACAATTTAAACAGATCAATTTTAAGTTATGAAATAGAAGACTCCATCAGAAGCTTACCAACCAAGAAAAGCCCAGGACTGGGTGGATACACAGCCACGTTCTACAAGACCTTTAAAGAACGAATTCCAATCTCCAATTCACTTCAGGAAATAGAAAAAGAGGGAGCACTTTCAAACTCATTGTATGAGGTCAATATCACCCTGATTCCAAAACCAGTCACAGACACATTAAAAAAAGAAAACTTCAGACTGATATCTCTAATGAACATAGATGCAAAAATTCTCAATAAAATTCTGGCAAATCAAACATAAAAATATATCAAAAAGATCGTACACCACAATCAAGTGGGGTTCATCCCAGGGATGCAAGGTTGGTTCAACATGTGGGATCAATAAATGCAATTCATCACATCAATAGACTTACAGATAAAAACCATATGATCATCTTGAATAGATACAGAAAAAGCTTTTGACAAAATACAACACCCCTTCATGTTCAAAATACTAAGAAAAACAAGGGACAACAGAAACATATCTCAACATCGTAAAAGCTATCTAAGCTAAGCCCCCAAGGCAAACATCATACTATATGGAGAAAAACTGGAAGCATTCCCTCTAAAAACTGGTATAAGACAGAGATGCACTCCTTCACCACTTCTATTTAAAATAGTTCTTGAAACAGTAGCCAGAGCAAGTAGATGGAAGAAATTAAAGGGATATGGATAGGTAAAGAAGAATTCAAATTAGCACTATTTGCCAACAATATGATTCTATAACTAGAAGACCCAAAAAATCCATCAGAAAACTTCTAGAACTAGCAAATGAATTTGGTAAAGTAGAATACAAAATCAACACCCATAAATCAAAGATATTTCTGTACATCAGTAACAAATCCTCAGAAAAGGAAACTAGGAAAACCACCTATTTACAATAGCACACACACAAAAAAGAAACTTGGGAATCAATGAAAGATGTGAAAGACCGAAACAGAATAAATAAAAACTACAAAATACTACAGAAAGAAATTAAATAAGATCTTAGAAGATGGAAAGATCTACCTTGTTCTGGGATAGGCAAGAACAGGCACAATAAATATTGTCAAAATGACCATACTACCAAAAAGCATTATACAGATTTAATGAAGTTCCAATTAAAATACCAAGGACATTCCTCATAGAAATAGAAAAAGCAGTCATGAAATTCATCTGGAAAAATAAGAGACCCAGAATAGCTAAAGCAATTCTTAGCAAGAAGAGTAAAGCAGGTGTCATCATTATACCAGACCTTAAACTATACTATAGGGCAACAGTAAAAGAAACAGCATGGGACTGGCACCAAAATAGACTTGTAGACCAATGGTACAGAATAGAGGACACAGAGACTAACCCACATAACTATAGTTATCTTGTATTAGACAAAGGTGCCAAAAACATACATTGGAGAAAAGACATCCTCTTCAACAAATGGTGCTGGGAAAATTAGAAATCCATGTGCAACAAAATGAAATTAAACTCCTATCTTTCACCATGCACAAAACTCAACTCAAAGTAGATCAAAGACCTAGGAATTAAACCAGAGATCTTGCACCTAATAGAAGAAAAAGTGGACCCAAATCTCCATCATGTTGGATTAGTTCCCTACTTCCTTAATAAGACTCCTATAGCACAAGAATTAAAACCAAGAATCAATAAATGGGGTGGATTCAAACTAAAAAGCTTCTTCTCAGCAAAAGAAACAATCAGTGATATGAGTAGAGAATGTACAGAATGGGAGCAAATCTTTATGACAAGCACATCAGTTAGGTACTAATCTCTAGAATATAAGCACTCAAAAATCTTCAACACCAAAAATAATTTAAAAAAAAACCAAATAACCCAGTCAATAAATGGGCAAGGATCTGAACAGACACTTCTCAGAAGAGGATATACAATCAATCAACAAATATATGAAAAAAATGTTCAATATCTCTAGCAATTAGAGAAATGCAAAGCCAAACTACTCTAAGATTTCATCTCACTACAGTCAAAATGGCAGCTATCAAGAATACAAACAACAATAAGTTTTGGCGAGGATTTCAGGAAAAAGGCAAACTCATACATTGCTGGTGGGACTTAAAATTGGTACAGTCAATCTGAAAAGTAATATGTAGATTCCTTAGAAAACTTGGGATGGAACCACCATTTGACCCAGCTATCCCACTCTTTAATTTATACCCAAAGGACTTAAAAACAACATACTGCAGGGACACGGCCACATCAATATTTACAGCAGCACAATTCATAATAAAATAGCTAAACTGTGTAACCAACCCAGATGCCCTTCAGTAGATGAATGGATAAAGAAAATGTAGTATATATACACAATGTAATATTATTCAGCACTAAAAGAGAATAAAATCATGGCATTTGCAGGTAAATGGATTCAGTTGGAAAATATAATGCTACATGAAATTAGACAATCCCAAAAAAACAAATGCTGAATGATTTCTATGATTTAAGGATGCTGATACATAATATGCTGCGGGTGTGGGTGGTGGGAGGATTAAATGAACCCTAGATAGAGAAAAGGGGAAAAGGGGAGGGAGGGAGGGGAAGGGAGGGGACATAGGGGTAGGAAAGACAGGAAATGTTATGGTCATCATTACCCTAAGTATGTGTATGAAGACATGAAGGATGTGAGTCTACTTTGTATACAACCACAAATATAAAAAATTGTGCTCTATATGCATAATATGAATTGTAATGCATCCTGTTGTCATATGTAACAAATTAAAATTAAAAATAAAAAACTGAAAAAATAGAATAACAACAACTAAGTCATGAAATTATTATATAGAAAAAAATCATACAGAAATATCTTTAAAAGTGGAAGTAACTGCAATAACAAGTGTTGTTGAGTATTAAATTAATTAATGTATGTAAAATATTTGGTCGTACTGGGATGTAAAATATTGAATAAATAATTATACTACTATAAGTTGTCACTGGTGGAAGTACCACCTGGTAAATAATAGGGGCTTAAAGAGCTCTTATTACTACAACTCACACAGATGATATAATTGCTTTACCAAATGTTTGCTGACCAATTTATTTACAAATTTTTAAAAAATGAATGTCTTCTAGCAAATCAGTTATGCTTCTCTTATAGTCAATGGTATGTTCACAGTTCAAATGCAAAATCATTTGAATTGTTCCTCAAAGTTAACTCAAATTTTGGCTCTTCTCTTTAGAAACAAATAGAAAAAAAACTGATTCCAAAATATATTTTACAACATTTAAAACTGATCTCAGACTCTTCTAGAAAACATTTACCATAAGAGTAATAACATGTATATGATAAGAACTAGGTATTAGAGCAATTGTGAGGGAACAGGTCGATACTGACATATGGCCAATTTTTCACTGATTTGTGAAGTATCAGGTTTTCTTTATTGAAATCCATACTTTTCTGCCAAAACAGTATTCTAAGGATTTTCTTTTTTTTCCCCTAGGGACTAATTCCTATCAGTTCTCATATTTTTTTCCACATTAATGTTCAAATGCTTTTTGGCACTTGTTTGATCTTCAAGAAATTGAGATTGCACCTTTTACAGATACAAATATTGGTTTGGTTGCCAAGTCTAGTAATTGCCATGTCTAGTAATCTTGTAAAATTGTGTTTCAAGGACTGGACAGTGTATTGTTCCACTTAAATGAGTGAATGAAAAATTTGGCTTTGTTTTTTCATTTGGATCTTTTCCTCAGGGACTAATCATCACTTTTCTTCCTGGACTTCCCTTTAGGGCTTCCTAAAGCTCTTTGTTGAATCTTGATAATTTTATCTATCATCTTAACTAGCTTATAAATTCTATTTTTGTCCCTTTTTAATTCATATGGCTTAGTATATTCTATGTTGAAAATGAGAGATAGGACTGTTTTATTCTATGACATGATGGTATATTAGTTTCCTGTGAAAGTGAGAAGCAAAAACATGATCAAAAACTAAACAGTTCCAAATTATTTTGGCTTTTAAATAGAGTACACATATATTATGGACAATAATATAGGTACCATTCTAAACTGAATAATTATTAAAAATTTACTTTATTTTCTTATGCAAGG